GTGGCTGAGTGGTTACCACTTTCCCTTTAAGTGCTTTAAGAAAGATAATTGTTTGACTCATTTCTTAAAGATATTCCCATTGTAGTGGTCTCTAGATCTATTCCAAAACAGTTTAAAATAATACATCTCTGTATTAATAGTCCGTATTGATATTGTGGCCCAGTGTGTTAGCATAACAGCTCTTCCATTCACCAATTAATTTATATCTACATTATTAATTGTATGCCTCTTAATAAATGATGAAGTACAGTACAGGTCACATTCACCTTGCAAGCTTTACTGCCTGGGAACAGATTCGTACAAGACACATATTTGGTGTTGAAATGTGCTTTTTTTCAAGTGGCAAGCAGAAAGGAATGATGTATACACGTTGAAAAGACCCTATTTCCTCTCGTCTAGTCACTACAAAAACCTTACTTTAAAACATTCTAATTTGTCACACAAAGTAATTCATTTCCCATCTGTTCACAAAAACGTATTTCATTTTTCCTTTTCGTATTTTTTCATAGAGAAGACTTTTTTGTTGTTGAATTTTGATGTGTTTCTGTTCCTTTTGAGCCATTCTTTATTCAGCAGATCTTCCACCATTATTTCCTCAAAGGCGGCACATGCTCCAAAAATATCCGGGGGCTCGAGAGCGAATTTGGCGCGTCTCTGTTTTATTATTAAGAGCCAACATTTACTCATGACATTTGCATCCTAATAAGTGCAAGAGGTGAAATGATACTCTAAGTCACATCAGTTTGTGTGCTAGAAGTGGTGATTTAATGCTTCAGTAAGGACTCTCTCCTCCATCTGTATTCTCTGGCAGGCCCTTCAGAGGCGCAATGATAAGAGCTTTGAAGATAAGTGAGAAACTATGAAGGTGGAATTTTTCACTACACTCACGCATTTTTTTAGCAAAACTGTCTTAAACTTTTTATTTCTCAAAGTAAAAACTAAAAAAATAACAATAAGATTTATGACTGATGTTTCCTACAAGTACATTTCACCAAACTACTGCAGATCATATGCCCTCGTGGCTCAGTGCACAGAGCTGTAATGACATCTACAATAAGAGAAATAAAAAGCCATCTCTGAAAATATCCGTCCCAAAAATCATGATGTGCCAGTTTTACTGCAATCGTGAGATTTCTGAACTGTGGTTAATATCAGCTCACTGGTTGCTGGAAAAGAAAACCTTGGTTTGGATAAAGTTAGGGGGAACTTCCACTTCTCAGCAAGAAGGTGCTGAGTTTGAATCCCAGTCTTTCTGAGTGGAGTTTGCATGTTCTTCCCATGTCTGCGTAGGTTTCCTCGAGTTTCACCTACCACTGAAAACATGTACTGTACAAAAGCTCCTGTCACTTCCAGCTTCTATCTGTCCCTCTTTGCTGCTGCTGCTGCTGCAGCAGAGCAGGGACTCCCTCAGCTCCCGTACCTGGATGTTGACTGCAGCAGCAGCAGAGCAGGGGGTTCTACAGAGTCCTGCGTTAGTCCTTTGTACTCGGTCCTGGTCTGTGAAGAGTCCGATGAGTCATCAGAGACCTTCTGTAGGACCCTGCTTGTCTGAAGTCTGAGTGTAGAGGGGGAAGAGGTGAGGACGGCCTCCTGGGGAGATGTCAGACAGTCTCTGGCTCTCACAGATTGTGGCCAGGTCACAATAATGACATTTTGCAGTAAACATTAAATTAAATAATAATGAAATGTTAACAGATGGGAGAATAATAACTACACATTAACAGCAGCTCAGCTGCATTTACAGTGTACAAGTCATCTTAAAATGTTCTTTTATGCCATTTCTACCATAGTTTTGACTTCAATATTTTGGCTTTTGGTATTTATATTGACAATGACAATGTCTTTAAAAATGTGAGTACTTTCAAAATGCACAATATTGACTGGTTAAAAGAGCAGGGTGCTTATTGGCAGAGTGGTTAGCCCTTATACTCTCCTCTAAAGGTGAATAAACTCACACGTTTTCCAGGGAATTATCAGATGCCTTATGGATAGCTGTTTCCTCTCACTCACACATCCACATTAGTGATCAATGATGTAAGAGTTCCTCAAACTAAACTTATCATGACTTTTTGTAAATCTATGATTAAAATTTTATTTAAAGTGGAAAAATATATGTACTGTATATTGATCACCAAAGATCAAAATATCTTTATATTAATATATAGATATTTTTGTGTGGATGAAATAGTCTGCCTGATGCACAATCTATAACATATTCAGACTTGAATAGAGCCAAAAAAGGAAGAACTGAAAAATAAGAACCAGAGACAGAAGTCGGCAGACTAATTATCAAAGGTTAAGCTAATTAGTGCTTCTATTTAAAAATATCGACTACTGCAAGAGGATGTGCTACTTTTCACCCTAACTTTCCTGTTCAAAATAAAACCAAAAATATCTAAAACAAGAAATATAAACAACATTGTTACTGTTGTATTTATGCATATATCCTGTACATGTGTGACTGTATTCATGCTTATTGAAATGTACAGTAACAACTTAATGTGTTTTTCTACTCTAGCTCAACATACCTTTGAATATCTTTATAAACAAAACAGATATATACAAATGCATTACTAGTGGCAGCTGTAGCACATCTGACTGTCAAAGTCAACACTTTTTCTGGTTGGGTTTTAGGGCTAAGCCGAGATAAATGACACTTTAGTCCTTGGGAAAATCAATTGTGCTCCCTCCCGCAGGACGGACGGCGAGTGCGCTGCATACAGTCAGCTCTTTATGTCTCAAATACATAATCCCGCTGCTCTGAAGAATGTACAGCACCCGGACAATGCATTGTTACATGGTGGGGATGTGTCTGACAGCAGCCCTTTGTTTGGTCTCTAAAGAGCTCACTACACGGAGCCAAGCGCTTCAGAAGTGATCCAGATTATTGAGGTTCAAACATGCTGAACTGTGGGCGACTGTGACAATTAAAGCATTCAAAAATCTGCTGTGAAAATATGACCATTGACCCCTCATGAAGCTGCTTAAAGCTAGCACCTAACTTCATGTTGTCATAAATAGAATCTAGTTTGTTCCAACAGAAAAATAATTCAAATGTTGTGAACAGACAACAACATGCTCTTTCTTACAAGTGTGTTGAACTCTTGAGTATGTACAGCAACTGTATGGGCTGAGAGCTGATGATAAAAGTGTGACGTGACTGAAACCAAAGTGGGCTTAAAGCTGGTGTACCTAACTTTTAAACCACACTGCAGACACAAACGTTTGTTTCCTACAGAAGTTCTTTGACGACGAGTGCAGAGTACTAGCACAGTACTTTGTGGACTGGTGTCAGCGGAACCACCTCCTCATCAACACTGGAAAGACCAAAGAGATGGTGCTGGATTTCCACAGGCGTCACTCTGCCGCTCCAGCCCAAGTGAACATAAAAGTACCTGGGCATTCATTTCAATCATAAACTGGACTTGACTCATAATATAGATACCCTCTTCAAGAAGAGCCAGTGCCCGACTCTTACCTGCTGAGGAGGCTCCAGTCTTTTGGAGTGCAGGGGCCACTTTTGAAAACCTTCAATGACTCTGTGGTGGCATCAGCCTCTTATACGGTGTGGTCTGCTCGAGCAGCAGCATCAGAGAGGGACAGGAAGAAGCTGGACAAGGTCATCAGGAAGTCCAGCTCTGTCCCATAGACAGAGTGCAGCAGGTGGGGGACAAGAGGGTCCTGGACCTGGACTAAACTCAGTCTCAGACTGATCCGCCATAGCTGTTTGAAGGAGAGGTCGCAGGTCTTTCCTCCAGCTGCAGCTGTCAGACTGCACAATGAACAATGAGACTTAGGAACACTACTGATCTGACCTCACATGCAATAAAATGCCATAATGTCAGTTTCACTGATTCACTATTAGCCCAGAGCCTCATGCTGCTAGCATGTACAGTAGTATCATCACAGTGACTATTGGAAGCAACAGAGCTAATGACGTATCACAATATTCTTGCCAACTAGTTCTTGGCTTTTAACAGTTTGGTTGTCACTAGTTTTCACATGAAGGTTTTTAGCCTGTCCAAAATGTCAGATAGTGACTCACAGTGCTAAGTGTTCAAAAAATAAAATACTGTTGATAAATACGGCATGTTGAGGTCTAAATTTACATTAACCTTGCTGTAGAGACAAGCAGTATGTTTGTCTTTTATCAAAAAATACAGTGTGATACCCCATGTATAACAAAGGTTTATGAAATGATAGCTTGTATGGATTAAAGTTCTAATATGAGAAACTGAGCCAACATCAGCTTGTAAAACGTCTTATTACATGAAATGCCCAGGGCTTTGGATGATCCACTTGGATCTTACACGTCCCTGCTCAATAAGACACAGGGGCAAAGTTTAGTACACCCGGGTTAGGACAATGGCTTCTGGATGATTTGACCATTTTGAAACATACATTATACTTTTGGTCTTGAACATATGTGGCGAGTTAAAGCTTCAGGACCCAACTCTTTTTCAAAAATAATCCATTTTGTTTGTCCTAACATGAGTCTTCTCAAATATAAAGGATATGAACAAACCAGAGCATATTATTATTAAACTTACTTATTAGAGTCGTTTTAAAACATGATTGATTTTGAGCTGATTGGCTGAGAGATGGACAGAAGCCAAAATGACATGCATTTGAAAACTTTTGTCAGAGCTAAAACTAGAAGCACGTATTTGTATTACAGAGTTCCATTGTTGTTTACATTGTTGGTACCCCAGCTTTAAATAACATAACAAGTTTGAACTTTTGCGCTAAATAGCTCACTCTCCTTCATTACACCCTTCCTGGTAATTTGGTGTTGAAATTCCTAAGTGTGTTGAAAAAAGCTACAATAAACCCTGCTAATGTCGGCGTGTATTTGGAGTGTTAAATGAGAATGCTCTTCTAATTCTCCCTTCTATTGTCTTCCCATTTCACAGAGGAACAGTGAACGCGCCGCACAGGACAAAGCCGGCAGTCCACACACCTGTGATTGGATGTGAGCGTATTGACCCGAGACCATTAAAATGGAGTTGCTATGGAAACTTCTGCTGCTGCTGTCATTGGTGGAGAGTGCGGCAGGTGAGTCTCCCAAATCGCCTGTTGAGTATTTTTTTAATCACATTTGTTTTTTATCATTTACACCCTTCACTCCTGGCAAGTTGTAAATGGACCTTGTTAAACTTACTAAAATACTGAAAAGACACAATTCTCACACAATTAATGTCCTCAAGAAGGACATCAATTACTTTATGCTGTTTTTATGGTTACTCATTTTTTACGGCTGGGTAACATTCATGTACAGTACATCATTTCAACCTATAATTTCAAATTGTGGTGGAGGGGACCTGAGACACCTTTTGTGGAAAGGCTGTAGAAAAGTATGGTTAGTGCTCAGGCTAAGGCGAGCTAGCAATCCAGACATACTATAGAGGTTAGTTAGCCTTGCTGGATATTTATGGGAATACATTTGGGAACGGAAAGAGAGGATTTCCAGTAATTTTATTTGTGGAAGGTTTTTTTTTTAACAGTTTGGCATGGTAATTTTTGTGTTTTAACTTTTTAAATGATACAGCTATTAGATTGTGTGAATATGGGTTTGGATGTTCTTTTTGGGTAGATTTCACTGAACAAAATGAATTGTGCTTGGACTGAAACTGACCTGGACCAAAGGTGAAGATGGCTGACATCTGTAGAGTGATATACAGATTGTCATGATTTATTACTAACTGTGTTTTGGGTGTGGTGTTTGGATTAGAATAGATTACGTGGTTGTTTGTCTGAAGAATTTTGCTTTAAAATCAGATGTAACATGCATGGGAGTAGCCTGGCCTTATCCATCCGTAATCTCTGTTCAATTATTATTTCCCTGCATTTACCATCAGGGTTTGCTCCCAGTGACGGCATCGGTTGAATCCCATCCGACCAATCAGCGAGCAGGGGAGCTTGTTGTTGCAGCTAGATGTTAGTGACATTACGAGTTTGCACCAAATTTGCTGGTTGTAGTTTGGCAATGGCGGCAAACGCGTTAGTAAAGTAATCCGTTCTAGTTTATCTCCAAATATCAAGAAATTGAAGCCGGAGCAAGAGGAATGTTAAGCAAATGTAATTGCTGGCAAAGATCTTGTGGCTCTACCCATGGGCTCTGTTCCTGGCAAAGGAGTTGCTAGGCTAAATGCTAGCAACTCACGACTCGGGTGCATTCAAGCCCCAGCGATCCAAGATGGCGCCGTATTCAAATGAATGGTTTGTGCTCAGTGGCGCTTTGTGCCGGCACGGTCACTGACATATCAGCGGAACTCAGCCTGGAACTCGCAAAGATCCATGGGAAACTCGCCTGTATTTGGGCATCGTCTGGTCCTCCCGGTTCTGCGCAGTGGATGAACTCCCATGATGCGTTGCGCAAAATACGCGTGTGTGGCTCTCATGCACGCGCAGAGAGGGGCCCGGCCGCGCTCTGACCAATCAGAGCTGCTCATCAGAGCAGGAGTTAGAGCGAGAGCCATGCGGGCAGAGTTTGTGGCAGTTGAGTGTGGATTTAAAGAAAACCCAAGAATTTAAGAAGAAAAAAAGTTCAGGATGACAAGGGACACCACAATCCCCACAAAATCCGATCTTTATGAAAGCTGTAGGTTCTCTGTCAGCTGAGGTCGCGCTGTTTTAGTTTACATTGAGTTCTATTGGGAAAATTTTTGGGTAGCCCACGTAAATTTAGTCTGGTTTAGTCTGCAGTACCGCGAGAATCCCCCGAGCACGTGGGTTCTTCAGCTCCAAGCTAGTAATACCCTATCCAGTTTTTATAATAGATCCATGGGTGTACATACGTCACACAAACTCCAATCCTTTCAATCTGCATAAGGAGTTAACCCCTCCCACCTGAAGCTCAATGGAGCCAATCCAGACCTTAACACGAAATGAAATTGTACTATGGTGTGGTAGGACCAGGCTAGCATTGGATCTTATTGGAATAAAGTTGAGACGGACAATTGAAAATACTTAAAAATATCAGACAACCAAAATATAGCTTGATCTCTTAAATAACACTTTATGTTATAGCTTCCTTCCATGTCTGTAAATGCACAGCTTGAATTCTATATTGTGAAACTAAGGTGGATACGAAAAACACAAAGAAATATAGTGGTTTTCGGAAGTATGTATACTACCAGATACATTTAGTAAATACAATTACCAAATGTATCTGTAGAACTGCACAGTGAGGCATTGTTGTTGACCCTTTTCAATAGTAACAATGTAATGATCATAAAATCTTCCTTGGCTTTTATTGTTATCACACGACTTCTCCTCCTAATCACTCTGAATGTAATGTTTAATACACCAATTTCTTGTGTAGTAACAATGCACGGTCTCCACCTACCAAACCACAGCTTTTAAAAGCACACTCATTTGTATCGAAAAGCCTCATTTGAGTCTAATTGAGATGGTGACGATAGAAGTATGAGAATTTTGCCATTGATCTAGCTTTTAATGAGCGACCTAATTTCTCTTGTGCACAAAACATTCAGGGTCAAATGCTACACCTCGTTTGAACGTCAAAGAAGTATGCTGCCGCCAAGTTGATGAATACATTTTTTGTGTCCACGAAAATGAGTAATCTTTTCATCTTGGCTTCACTCAGAATTCACCGCCCCTTCTCTCTGTCTCAGTCTGAAATAATTAGTGTGCCTCATGACTGGATATGAGAGTTTTAAAAAAGCTCCAGATCTCGCTAAAATCCTAAATTTGCACTACATGGGATTTAGTCCTATTATCACTAAATCCCATAGACATTACTTGTGGTTTAATGATGTGTCCTGAGGGAAAAGTACTCACTTTGGATCGGGATCTGCATCAGTCTGCATCATGTCCCACTTAGCCTTCCTATTACATGCACAGCACAATACTCTGTCCTGCTTAGCACTAAATGATCTGTCCATATGTTAGGCGTTGTATATGACTAATGCTATTGTGTGTGTTACGTATTGCCTTGAGTGTCTTTAAAATGTCTTTTACAAACCTATAGCAAATAGGATATGCATAGTGTTGTGAAATGTCTTTTATGCACACAGAAATGAGTGAAGTACAATGAACCTTACAAAGTTCATCTTGCTTGGAGGATAACTTTAGATTAATGCCTAAAGATGGCTAGGCAGGTCTAATGTGAAAAATACATGTCGAGAGCATACAAAATGTTTAGAATAGGATCACATAAAAATGTCTTTAGCTGTGGGAACTTTGTCACCTCAAGCTGTCATTAGACCGGAAGCATCAAGTAGGCTAAGGAAGGAGCTTCACATCCCAGCGCTATGATTGGATACCAGGAAAACTGATATTCAGGCAACAACATATCGGCTATGACAGATATAAACAGGAAAACAAAGAAAATTGTCATCAAACCTCTGTATCTGCAGAGATGTTTGCATCAGGCAATTTGATATTGTCATAATACACACAGCTGCAGCCATTTGGGCCTGAAAGAATGTCCAAAATATATATGTTAATTACATTGCAAATAACAAACACTATTATTTATTTAAATGCTAAATGCACTTCACAAAACAAGGAATTAAATTCAAGTAAAAAAAAAAATATTACAGTACATTTATTTTTGGAACTGTTAAAAACGTACATAATAGATTTATTTATTTTGTGTCTGCTATACCACAATTGACCTCGTATAACTGTGATTTTGTAGCACTTCAAAGTATCACATGATAATAGAAGCATTTTATATACTCCTAATATACATAAACACTTGTATGTCTGTTTCTCTACAGTATACTTGATTACTTAAAATACAATAAAACAGCTTTTGTCTACTAAGTATGTAAATAATCTTGATTGATATAGCGCCTTCCACAGACCACAGAGTCACAAAGCACTTAATATTTTTCCTCTCACTCCACACGGTGATGGGAGCGAGGCCGCCATAGAGTAGGCACATGCATACTTGAAAATGCCATTACAACAAAGTGTTGCAGTAGCAGCAGATCACAGTGAGCGGCACAGTTAAATCATCTGCGTGTGACATTTTAAGAAAAACCTACAAATGAAAAACAGAACAGTACAGTCGGTGAAAACAGGGATAACATTCAAGTTGAGTAGTTCAACCAAAAGCTCTGAACAGTTGGTTTTGCACATTGCGTCCCTAATCTGATTTGTATTGTTAAGGCCCTCTCAAATCAAGGAACTAGTCACTAGAACAAATAGTTATTCAGTTTGACCTTTTTTTTAAATCTTCTTAATCAGTTCCCCAGACAGCATTGTTATTAAAGGAACAAAACACATTAATTATTGTCAGATTTTACAAAGTGCTTCATGTCTTTCTAATCGTAAAATAATATAGAGGTCTTTGGTTAATTGTAGATGATTTGTGGCAGTTCACCTATTCAACATATCCTAGTTGTAAACATTCTAATTCAAACATGTGCTTTTGAAAAAATAATAACAATACTCCACAAAACTGCTAGTAATGCATAATTTTTCTGGTTCCATCTTTAAATTCCTCTTCAAATCTTCTCTATATGAAACGGAAACACAGCTATTGTCAGCAGAAATTGCATCTCAGACATGTCTTTTTATCTTCAAGAAGTTAATTCAAGTCTGTGGCTGGCAGTGGCAGAACTAGACCACTCCATAAATACACAGCAGCAATTATGTGCAAAAGCCACATTCATAGTATTTGCTGCAAATGAGTGCCTAACAATAGAGCGCTGTGCAAATAATTTGATGAAAAGACTTGTGTTGCACAGGCCTTGCCTCACTCTTGCACTCAAATGCAGCTGGCGCCTCATAGAAAGCTTACATTAATATTCAGCACAAGCTAACATTACATATGCACCATTTGCAAGACAAGCATGGTGCAAGCATATAACATAGACCTCCAAAACTGAAAAAAATATATGATACGTAATTTTTAGATATAGCATGAGGGAGCATACAAGAGCGTAGCAAGTGCCTTTTCTTTATAGCGGCCCTGGACATCAGCTGGTTGGACTAAAGTGGCCAAGGGGAGTGCATTCCCCGAGCGAGTTCATCCAGAGTTAACCAGCTCAACACACTGTTCTCCCTAAGGGCCGTGCCGG